GCGGCTGTGAGAGCGAAAACTGAAAACAAAAAAATATTTGTGAGATTTGAGTGATGTTAGGTGGCGCTTACAGTTCTTCTTCATGTGTGTTTCTGTGTGTCCAGGACTTTGTTTACCATGGCCTGGCTGTGCTCTTCTACCTCAGTGCAGGAGTGGATTTGGCTTTTATTACCATGTTGAGGAAAGGGTCTGTGTTCAAACTCTATCAGATCAACATTGCTGCTGTGGTAAGAAGTACTTTATTTTGTCATTTAAATACTAAAACTAATTAGAAGCACAGATATAACAGTATGTCTACCAAAAGATACAGCAAAGACAAGAAAAGTAGCCAAAACTTACCCGGAAACAGGTGGAAAAGGTTCAAATCTAAGGCAGCTAGAGCTGTTGTTAGCATAACCCACAATCATAGCAAGTAGCTATAATTAATAAGGAGCTAACTTGATGTAAGACAAAAAAAAAAAGCAAACAAAAACCCCGCCAGAATTTACTCAAATTCAGCAAAAAAATAAAAATAAAATCTGAAATTGTGTCATATATTAGCCAGCCCGAAAAAAATAGCCAGGAAATTAGCTTACAAATTACACTAATTGATATCTGAAAGTTAGCCCGGGAACTAGGTTAAAATGTTTTTACGTCATTTAATATTAATGTGTTGAAAATGCCCGAAAGAAATTGTCTGTAAAAAGTATTTTAAATCGTCTTACAGCATTATTAATCTGTGTGTCCTTTAGGTTTTCGCAGCATTTTTAATCTGTGTGTCCTTTAGGTTTTCGCCTTCTTGTCCGTCCTCCTCTACTTCATCCACGCCATCCTGTCCGCCATTAGATGGAAACAGTTCTAAAGGACGACATCCCATCGCAAAACCACCGTCTTATCACAAAATGAATGCCATTGTATGATTGACGTCACATTATTGTACTTTGGAAGGACATTTAATGAAGGTAAAACGGGAGATTGAGCTCCAGAGACGGTATTTAAAACAATCACAGAAATAAATGATGTTTTATGTAACATAATTGGTACTACGCACAACAAATATTATTTTTGATATTAATGTAGTTCACTTTTTTGACGTAGTGTGGCACTCTTACCACACAAATGTAACAACTACGCCCCTTACTGTTTCCTGGCATCTTCTTTAAAACTGCCACTTTTTTTCAGCCTTTTTATAGATTTAGTCGTAAAATGTTTTTTATGTTCAGTTAGAATTAAATTCAGAAATGTAGTAGATAGAGTTAAAAAGTGACATATCTTCATTTTTATACATTCAATAATAAAAACAAAAAATATACCATAAACATTGTGGTCTGGTTTTATTTTCTCCAATTTTCCTCATATATTTCTCTCTCTCTCACACACACACAAACATATTTCTACCTACAAGACACTGGTGTTTGGTTACATTCGGGAAAACATGACATGTGAGGTTTGACCATGGTTTAAGATTAACATTGTAGTAACTTTGAGTTCAGCATTTTTAGAGTTACATAATGTTTATTTGATACTTTAACATATTTTTACATCATTACAGACAACGTCATTTTGACATTTCCATTTTTTTAAGAGTCCTTTGTGGAAATAATCCACGTTTTCCAATCAGTATAAAAAGACCAACATCACTTTAAAGAGCCACAGATCATCAGACTCTCCACGTCTACCAGATGGTTCGTTTGACTCCGGCCCAGATGGAGCGTTTTGTTCCCTGGGCCAACTGAACATCGTCCCAGTTCAGCCGTGTGTTGGGAATCTCATCCTCCTTCTCTGGGTCTGGTCTGGCCCCGCCCTCAGGTTTGGCCACCACGATGGGCAGCGGGCCTGTCTCTGACCTGAACTCCACCACGTTGAGCTTCTTACTGTCTGCCAGACTCTGGTGGTTTTGCTGTGAGATGGAAGAGGAAACAAAGGAACTGTTGGTTCCCATTGTAAAGGACCTTTTATTAAATACAACGTCTCAGTCTCACCTGAGTGGCCAGTCCATTGAAGAGAGCTCTGGTGATGTTGAGATAATTTGTGGATCCATCTACTTTACAGTACATGTCCTTGATACCAATCAGCTTACAGATAGTGATGATGGCTCTGTGGCAGCGAAGACCCTCTCCTGTATGGACACAACGCTGTTTAAACACATTATGTATGTGCACATAAACATACATATATATTGATATGTTGAGGATGACCGCGTGTGGACTGATGCTGTGATGTGCTGCTGTGACTACCTGTGGTTTGTTTCTTCATACGAAGTGTCGTCTTCTTGTACTTGGACTCAATGTCTTGGTAAACTGTTGGCAGAAAAATAAAATAAATTATACTGTACGTACTATAAATGAATACACTACAACATATGGCAGTACTTTATTTTTTGATAAAAACAGGAAGAGATGAAAAGAGGTCAACATAGGTGGGAAAAAAGAGAGAGATGAAGAAGAGAATTAATAAGGACAAGGGTAACAGAGGAACAAAGGAAAAAGTGAAGGATGGAAATTGAATATATCATAAACCACAGTGAAATCAGACGTGCGAATGAGAGGTTACACTCACTGGTGCGGCCCTGGTATCGGTCAATGTAGTACAGGTAATGGATGGCTCTGTTCTTGGCCTACAGGAACAAAAAAAAAAAAAGAGGATTCAGATTTGACACCGTCATCATTGACACAGATGAATAAACATGAATAAAAACACATGAATAATTGACTGCAGAAACATCATTTTAACATCAGAGAGCTTGTGGACAACACCAGGGGGCGTGTCCAGGCTGAGTGATTAACCAATAAAGACGTGTCATTTCTGGGTCCTACAGCACACAGCAGAACCAATTCAAATAAATGCTCTGGTCCCAATGCAAACAAATAACAATAAAAAAATCTTAAAAAATAATATAATAAAATTAAATTCACCAGTCAGACCTGCCATTATACCATTAACTGCTACTGACTTCACAAATATTGTAAGAGTAAAACCAAGTCGTACCTTCCTCTGGGCTGAGATGCGGTCTGGTCCTTTACCCAGCGCAAAGCCTGATGGGAAAAATAAAAAAAATCAGGAACGAAAACGGGAAACAAGAGTTTGTGTTTGTTTGGCTCCACTCTGTGTGTGTGTGTTTTTTTTAAATGTGTTTAAAATGAATATATGTTAATACTATATACAAGCTTTAACACTGAAGACTCTGACAGACTCCGTAACGAGGCACAGACACCACTGAACCTTCGGAGTCTGGAAAGACTTTCTCAGCAGTTTCTGTATTTTTGCTGCTTAAAATAAATAAATAAATAAAACTGTCAAAAGTGTCAGAAACCACTTCCACTTTTGCCAGAAATACTCAAACAGTCAAAACAGTTTCTCTTCCCCTCCACAAACGCCCCTTGCTAGTATCCCTAAACCTCTTTGTTATATGAATCATATCCATTTAACCATTGACTTAAAAAAAAAAAATCCTAAATTATTTATGTTTTATTAAAATACGTGTTAAATGGCGAAGTGGAACCTGACCTGCGGCTCCGTTGCCGTTTCCCACGGCCACCAGGCAGCTGACGGACCTCTTCCTGCCTTCTTTGGCCGTCATGGAGAACACATTCTTCATCTGGAACATAATATGACAACATGCGCTGCATTAACATGAACACAGTTCAGCCTTCGGACTGAAAATGTACACATCAGTTTGTCATGTCACGTCAGAGTTTCTCGTTGTTTTTGAGTTACTTTTCCAAATTGGAGAAACACATTTTTCACTTCTTAATCTGTCGGAACACCAATCTTGACGTGGTGGATTCAAGTCCAGTCATTAAAAAAATATTATAATGTAGACAGAACCGCTTCAGTAACAGCAGGGGGCAGCATTGAAACGCTACAGACATTGTGAAAGGAAGACAGTGGAGACAGGAGGAGGAGAGGGGAAATTAAAGACAGTTCAAGGAAAGAACAGCAAATGTGAAGAAGATCAGATGTGGTCAGAGGTGTGAGGAGGAAGAAGGAGGAGGAAGTTTGGAGACGGAAAGTTAATGTGAACTAAAATGAGCCCAGAGGAAGAAGATGATGAGAACGGGAGTTGAACTGTAGCCTATGGTTGAGCAAAAAAGCTAATGATGTCAAAAACACCATAACAAAGAGCGAAGAAAAAAACTGTACAGTATATGCTAATAATATGTTCTGCAGTACTGTGAAAATAGTATATTAGTTATATTTACTTATTGAAATCAATATATTATTAATTTTTTAAAATCTTGTTACTGGACCATAGGCATGGGAATCATGGTCCAGTCAGGGGACGGGGTCCCACTTGATGAAAAAATATACACTTCATGGTCAGGATATTTCTCTGGAAAATTATATTTCATTAAGTATGAATAAATAATAATAAATATAAAATGTACTTGTTTGCATGAAAACCAAAGGGGGGGAAACATGGACTTTATTTAGTCTATTTATTTATTTGACCGAAAATTAGTTCAAGACACCGCTGGTCTAACTGAAGGCTTGTTACCATGTGATGGGATCACCTGATATCTGCATGGATAATGAACCTAATGAAGTGGTCATGTACACCAGCAGGACACTCTACAGCTGGTACTCATTAAGTTCATCTGTGATCTTCAGGGTGGCAGTGAGAGCTGCAGCCAATCACAGCTCGAACAGCACTCAATAGTACAATACGATCAGATTAGTTGGGGTTTTTTTTTAACCTGATCTTGACACTTCTAACCAGAACAAACAGCTTCCCGTTCCCTCTACTGTCTTGTCTTCCAAAGCCCTAAATCCAAGACTTCAAAGCACACCAAGTATTTCACCGTGTCAACCAAAAGACAACCTAACAGAGAGCGCATCCTGGTCCAAGTCCCTGCTTTGTTCTCATCCATCATCCCTGTTGTTTTTCCCCTGGTTCAGCTTCCAGGCGGTGTTCACCTTGACACTTTTATCTTCACAGCGGAGAGTGTGTGACAGAGCGGTGCAGAGTTTCAGCTCAGAGAACTTCAAAGTCAAGTTGTGCTTTCAGCTTCTCTGCTTATGTAACATTTCAGTGAAGGGCTTATAATCTTCACTGCGGGGACGCTGCACAAGGACCGGTGTCAGGGGACAAAGGGGAGGGGGCAAACAACGAACACTGCAAAAACACCAGCGTCGCACAACTGACCTCACTGAGAGTTAGAGTCCAGCAGCTGGACAGGTCGACACAAAAGATTTGGTTTTTTTAAATATTTTTTTTAAAGAATAAGTAAAGTTAACACTATTTTAGTCCAAGTCAACAAAAGCTGTAGTACCAGCTGAGACGATGCTAATAGAAAATATAACTGTGAGGTGATCAGTGTCACTGCACGCTGACTTTTTCTTTTAAGCAGGTGAAGAAAACGAACACGAACAACGGCAACATTCAGTGAAGGAAAACATAATAGTTTCCGTGGAAATACAGTAGCTGAAACATTTGGTCAAAATTCTTTCTTTTTCTTTTACATGTGCGTTTGTGTGTCTGTAAACAAATGCAGTCACAAGTTGAGCCGCGAAGTTTGTTTACATCGCTTTGGCAGGGATCCAAACCAGATGGTACGACTCTGTGTTCTGTGCCGGGTTCCCATTAGAAGGTTGTGCACGTGTGTCTCCACTGATGAGGTTCTCCTCTCACTCTGGCTTCTACATTCATTATTTGGGCTGAAGATGCAGCCGTTTGAGCGCGGCATTAGCCGACGGAGCAGATGGGCCAACTCTCTCTCTCTCTGGCGGACGAGCAACGACCGTTTCACTCCCGTTTCATCTTTATTCTTTCAATCTGCTGCTCCTTGGCTCCGCGGCTTTATGTACGTCTGTGTGCTGTAGTGTCAAGGAGAACGTTCCACAACGCACAACCATAAGGCACCGAGGCAGAACCGACCGCTGCCAACCCTGGTACTGACTCTAGAACAGTACCGGGGTCTGTAGATGACAGTATACTATTTATTAGTAATATCTTCGAGGCGTCTACAGCATAATGATAAGATGTTTTAACTTAAAAGTTGAAGTTGAAAACTGTTCTCCATGAAAAGAAGTCGATAACATTTACTAAAATTGCAACAATTACCTTACGACTAGTTGTAAATGTTTGTCTGTGAATTTCAAGCACGGCAACAAAAAAGAAACAATGTTACTTTTAATGTTACGTGGTTGCAAAGCGTAGCTTTCGCACGCCTGCCTTACACATCTGCCTTACATGCAGAAGGTCCTGGGTTCAAGCCCCAGAAGAACCACATTTTAATGGCACCTCCCATGGCCATCTGTGTGGATTGGACAAATAAGGGACTTCAAGGACTAAAGTTTCTCTTCTCAGCCCAGAAATGGTTAACTATTAGAAAAAAAAACACTTTACAAGGTTGCTGAGGGAGGTGAGGGAGGGTGGGTGGTTGTTGGAGTCGTCTTCTGTGACAGTGAAGGCATTCAATCTCTGTTAATGAAATCAGCGAGTCCTGTCCAAGAGGCTGCCGAGTCTGGAGACAGGCCATGAACATCACTTAGCTCTCTGTCGCTCTAACTCTTCCTTTTCTTGTCTTTTCTTTCCTTTCCTCCACCAGGTTCCCACTGAACACAGTGACTGTGCCACGCTTTAAATTTAAAAATATTTACAACAGAGTTCATGTCTTAATTTAATATTGACCTGTTGGGGCTCAGCTTTACCTACGAAGGTAAAGGTGATGCTTAAATGCTGGAATGGGTTCTGCCTCTCAATTAGAGAAGTACTGCTGTAAGGCAAGCATGTTAACCACTTCTACCACCATGTGGTCAGATTTTTGAACAGGATTGTCTCCTTAAACTAAACTTGTAAGACGAAAAAAAAACCCTGAGGTTCACCGTCATGGCTCAGACGCATCGACTGAACTGAACAGGTCTGAGGATTGGAATTCATCAGTTCCCTGATCGACCCTGAAGCACAAACTCCAGCCCAGAGGGTGGCAGTAATGCACAGGTACAGCCCCGTTATTACAGTCAACTGTTGCTGGGTATAAATTCTTCACAGTTGGTCTCGCACTTATCAACTTCTCCTCCACCTTTCTCACAGTCGCCTCCCCCCAATCCCCTCCCCTCCTGGTGGATGTTCACTAATGGAGGGTCCGCATCACTGTCCTTGAGAGACGAGCCTTTTCATTCCAGTAAGCCTTTTTCATTTCATTAGGCCTGAATTTAAAACGACGCACACACAGTTACACACAGACTCACACAAACACAAACCCAGATCCAAACACAGACACAGGTTATTTATAGATGGGAACGGTCGATAAAAGCATTCCTTGGTTTCCAGGGGGAAGCCTTGAGCCTGGGATGCTCCTGTTGAGGACTCTTCAAACTGACACACACACACAGTCACTGAGGTTGGGGTCTGCAGCCAAAAGGCAGCCCAGAGGGGTTGAACCACATGGGCTGCAGCAGACTGTAAATCACACATTGTTAAATGGGGCTGTCTACTCCACGGAACACACAGTAATGGTGTCGCCAGCTGCTCCCGCTGCAATGTCTGCAGGAGGCCATGGGGGGCAGCGTTTATAGGTTTCATTGCGACACCTTTGGAGAAACTTTATAGGCAATAAAGGTAATATTTTTTTATCTTTATTCCTCAATATAGTTTTTTTATATTCTTAAATATTCTTCTGTGAATGTGTGTTTTCCTGCCTGGTGTCGTCGCTGTGGTCTGAGTTCAGCTCGTCACGCTATTACCCACAGAGCTGAGTCACCGATATAAGACTGCCGTCCTGGTCGTTTCATATTTATTGAAACACAACCTAAAGGTAGTATCAGTGACAGTACTCGGCATCAACAAGTACACTAAAGAAAAGCACTCACACCAACTGTAGGAGCCGTGTATCGTTTCATCGATGGAATATATTTTAGTTTTGATTGATTTGGTCTGGTTGCCATGGTGATGGTTTAAGTCCTTAAACTAGGGTTGCCAAAAATACCGCCCATGGGCCAAAACCGGCCCGCAAGGGAGTTCAATCTGACCCACATGATGAATTTTGAAAGTGAAAAAATGCACACCCCTGACTGAAACGTATGTATTTAAGCAGGAGAGATTCAAAGTTATGGTAGCCGTAATTTTTGTTGATCACTTGCTACACATTCACAAACCGTGCACGTTTACTAACTTATTTGTGTGTGTATTTCAAAGCTGTTGTAGTAGCTGTGTGTTTATATTAAATGTCTTGAACTTAAACTTAAACTTTACTGTGAAACTGTGTGCTTTTCTGGACAAGCAGCAGCAGGTCTACAAGATCCAGCTCTACCTCTCAGGGGAATTTAAAAGGAAAAGTCAAAATATCAGTTATTAAAAACTGACACCAGGAGAACCCAAGTACCAACCTGTCTCGATGTGAGGTCTGTGGATACAGTTAAGGTGTTGAGGTGTTTAACAAATACCCAAGAGATTCAATGAAATAACTGCATTTTAAAAGCCCAAGAAGAGCCACTGGTCTTAACGGCAGAGTTTAAATTTTATGAACCTCTCTTCACTTTTCAACGGTTCTAACAAGCTCAGAACTGATGCTACAATTACTCGTGCAACTCTGACCTTTATAAAATGATTCCACTTGGCCAGCAGTAACTGCAAAGCTTTTCAAATTTACTGCTCAACCGCAGCGGTCCTTCCTTAACACATTTGCCCGCATCACCATCAATGTGCACACGCCACAACGCATCTTTCACTGTTGTAATTTCCCTAAACAGCTCCGCCTCCCCTCTCCCCCCAGAGGCTGTTTGGAGGAATATTTCTGCACCATCTGATTTTATCAAGGGGTGGTAACAACAAAAATCTATTTAAAATCAGAGAAGCTCCACAGGGCAAAACGATGACACTAAAGCCCTCTGTCAATGGGATAACAGGGCATTCACAAACTGTTATGCCTTCAGTCAGTTTTAGTTATTTAAATATATCCCAAAGTTGACAGTAGCATTACAAACATAAATCAAGGCCAAAAGAGGCTAAAAGTCAACATAAAATAGCTGCAATTTACCTAAAAAAACCCCAAATGCCTCAGGGTTAGGCAAACTGACGAAAAACTAAATGCCTCAGGGTTAGGCAAACTGACGGTGTAAAAATTGGGAAAAAAATAATTTTAAGTGTTTTAAGTGAGTGTTTCCTCCAACACTTTCAGCAGATTAGTTGAAAATAAATAACTACAAACTTTAAGAATTAAAGGAAAATCAAGCAAAAAAAAAAAGTGTTGAACCAAGATCAACTCTTACCTCAAGGATACGTGAGTCAAAGTTCTCGTAGGTTTCTGAGGAGAGACAGAAGAAGAAAAAAAAATCAACTCAGCATCAGTGAGAAACCAGATCTGATCAGAGTCAGTCGGCCTGGTTACAGCTGTCTGCACATCACACTCTGTTTGGACCCACGTGTATGTACTGTGTATGTGTGTGTGTGTTTATGAGAGAGTGAAGTGTGAAGTGTTTGAACATGTAGGAGGGCCAGGGTGATTGGATTTCAGCGGTGTATTAGCTCAGGGGCGAGAGAGAAGACACAGCAGAACAGCAGCAGACAAACAAACACTGAACACCAACACTCTTCACCGCAAAGATCAGTGTTCGTTATCAAACCAAACTGAAAATTAATGAAACCTGAAAGTTCCAAGGAACATTTTCAAACTTTCCTAGCATCATTTAGCCTTTAGCCTTGGCCTTTTTCACCTATATTTTTCAGCTACCTATTAGCAATTTCTTCTACTTATTATTATTATTTAAAACTCTTTCCAAAATCTTTTTTATTAATTTAGTCAACTTGTGTCTGTTAATTTGGATTTGTTAAACAAATTAACAGTTTTAGTTAACCTTAGATTAGTTAATGACCTACTCATAGCAAATTTGAGTATATTTTAAGTTAACCTTCAGATATAATTTCTTAGCTAATTCATTTTTGAATAGATTTTCTGGAAGAATTTAGTTATTTTCTGAAAAGGGTAGCAATTTTTGGTCAACATCTGGCTAACTTCCAACTATGTGGCAGAGCAATTATCATTTAAATTCGCTGACGTTTAAAAAAAACTATAAATCAAACTTCAAAATTTGATGATTCCTAAAGTTTTCAAGAATGTATGAAAACCCAGAACCCTGAAGTCAGGTGACCACAGGCCCTGTTTCTCATCAAGTACGGTCAGAGATATGACTGAACACTGGACAAATCGTCACCAACTTCAGACACATCAGAATAACATCCTCCTCCCAGTCTTTAGTGCAGCTGTAGACGCTGCCTTCAGAGAGAGCTCAGATTCAAACTTCTAATAGACTCATTCAACACTGTCCCGTGTTATTGACAGAGACATTTGGATTTTCACGGAACATTGAGAAGAACATTAATGAAACCCAGAGGCATTATGGTCCTAAAGGAACTCGGGTGAAGTTCTCAGTGACTCAGTTCTACATAATGAACAAAGTTTTCCTCATTATGTAGAACAAAAGCTTTTCACTGAGAACACACAGTCTTTCTCTCTCTCACACACACACACAACCTGAACGCAGGCTTGTGTAACCTGCAATAATTACCAGGTATCGATGCAAAAATACAGACAAGAGAAAAAGACACTTTGATGACAAAGTGGAGGAAAAACTGGCAGAGAAAGACGTCTGTCTAAATGGGGACATCATCTCTTACTTGACACTTTGGTGGAACCGTAATCTTCATCAGTCCTAATGGGCCTCGGAGCAGCCATTGGCTCACTCCTCCATCCACCCACACACTCCATCAAGACGCCTTATTACTGCCGACTGCTTCATTTCTTTCTTTCTCTAATAACTGCAAGTCTTTCTGTTCTGTTCCACTCCGTGTGTGTGTGTGTGTGTTTTGGTGATATAAGAGCGACCTGCTGTGTCATGGTCTTCTCTCAGCTCTGCTTCTCCAGCAGGAACTGGAGCCTGAATATATTAGAATGTTTAACAGGGAGCTGAGGAGATGTGCACTGTCAGCTGCAGCTGCTTATGGTCTGCCTGATCAGTTCCTGGCAGAGCTCTTCTGAAAACAACATAAAACACGTAGAGAGTGAGTTGATGCCTATTACTATTTTAAGGATAAATACTAATAATATTCATTTTGGGTCATGTCTTCTCAGTGTCAACATTGAATGGAGTCTTTCTGTTATATTGACACTGATCCTGATATTATATATTTTATAGAACTTTTCTATCCCTTGACACTTTGCTAATTTAATGGCATCAGGACACAGAGAAGAGGAAGAGGTGAGATACCACGGGTATGTTGTGTGTACCGTACTGGTGGTTCAAACCTGTGGTTCTAGCGAAAGAGTTGCCAGAGTGAAAAATGTTTGTCGACAGTAGTCTCCACTGAAACTGTAGTTTGAGAAACACTGATTTAGCAGCTTGACCTTTGAGAGACTCTGATGGTCAGTGAAGGTCTGTGTTGATTGACACCTACCTCCATTTGGTCCAGGATCTGGGGGTCCTAGACTCAAACCCCCCCAGGACCTTCCCGTCCATACTCTTTCTCTATTCACCTTTGTATTCCTTCTTTTCTCATACTCTTCCCTTTTCTGGACTGAGGGAAAACAGAAGGAGGACAAGTTTAAATAATGGAGAGAGCACAAACATGAGCATCTTTGGGTGGTTTTACTGAAAACAAAGAATTACAGTGACGGGAAAATTACTGTCACTGTTTGTTATGTATTACAAATGTTGCCGTTACCCATCTCAGCCTGGACGATCTGCTGCTCGCTCTGACTTCTTTGGCTCAGAGGTTGAACCATACCATTCTTTAACACCGGTGCGTTCAGACCAGGCCACAGAAAACCAGCTCGACCTGTGGAGTAAAGACACAGGATGGTGAGGAGTAAGGACAACGTTTATATTTCTGAAAGATACAGAACCTGTAACGTACAAATTGATCACATTTGACCAAAGTCACAAAGGCATGCAGTATAATCACATGCTGCACATATTGATAGAGCTATTGAATAATAGACATTACAGACAGGGAGGAAAGCAGAGACAAAGAGAGAGAGAGAGAGAGACAGACCTTCTCCCATCAGCCGTCCACGGTTCAAGTCTCTCTTCATTTTGCGTTTGGTTCTCTTCCCTCTGCCTTTTCTGGCTCCTGAACCGGTCTCTGCCAACACACCTTTCCAAAGCTCCACAGCTGTTACTGCAGGTGCACACAAGAAGTGAGAAGAGAAAACCGGTAAATTAGCATTTTACTTTTTTATCGTAACTGCAGACGACAGCTACAGTTAAACCCACAAAACAACAGGAAGTCAGAACCTGAATGTACTTTTTAAGTACCATTTTTTAAAACTTTTATTGACATATATAGGAATGTTACAGTATGATACAGTTTCAGATATTATTTATATGTCAAAAAGAAAACAAATAAAGGTCAACAAACAAACTAAAACAAACAAATAAAGGTCATTGCAATCAATCACCAACAGACATGGGACTTACACTTGTTAAAGAAGCTGTTGTGTCTGGTCTGTTGCCAGACTGTAGAAGGATATGCTGGGAGTAAAGAGGACCTCTGGAGAACAATAAAAGCTGAGGCTTGGGTTGTTAAATGGGATATTTGAGCTGCTGCCACGGTGGTACGGAGAGGTACTGTCCCTGGAAGACAAGGGCATGGAAGAAGGTATATATTAGGATAACCAAAACGGTGCACAAAAAGAAAACTTTTTTAAAAATTACATTAATACGACAAATAAACACAATAAAATGTGCGTATAGTACGAGGAAAATACATCGCGTGATGTTTACGGTAAACCGAAGAGACCCGTTGACATGGTGTTTTATCAACATAGCCTGAACCATCTCAAAGGTAAGTACCTTATCGATTTTAATAACTATGCAAAACGTCATAGTTTGCTTTTGAACTTGTAATATTGACTAGGTGATCTGATTGACATGGTGATCTGTTCCATTACAGATCACCATGCACGCGCACCAATGACAGGCATGTCTAGGTGAGTAAAACGGTAACATACAAGAATTTACACTCGTGAAATATCAAAATAAATACAATGAAAACATGGCCATTCAATGTATTTACGTATATTTAATGGGTAAGAGAAAGAGGAATAACTTACCTCCTAAAGTGCAGCGGAGGGCACAGCACATCCGAATAGTCGCCGCCATGTTGGATGTGAGAGGTCCTTCGGAGGATAACAGGGCGTCTAAGCTGTGCCCGATTAAAATAAAATTAAAACAATAACAGAGTTACGTTTTAGTTTTATTTGAGTTACGTTTAGAGAGAAAAAAATGTATATTTAAATGTCTAACCATGGCGGTTAAAACACACAAAATCGGGCATATTTTTTTTCTCATTATATTGAATGGCAGTCCCACCAAAAAAGCCAGAGCTCAATTAAATGAAATAAAAAATATATAACATATTTTTTTCTCATTATATACAATAACAGTCCCACCAAAAAGCCAGAGCTCAATTAAATGAAATCTAGAATTATTTTTGAATAACAATGTAAGATCTGCCAAACGGACAATTTACTTTTTGGTTAACTAAAATTATAATAATATAAATATTTTAAAAAATCAATAATATTAAGGGCAATTTTTACCTAAGCCTGCGCTTATTACAATTGTTCTTGAGCAAACAGGACCTATTGTTTTGGATTGACGTTATACCATTATAATGGTACATCCCAACATCCCAGGTCGTGAGTGAATGTAATGAACCTCAGATGATACTCTAATTACTACATATTAATCAAGCACCATGCATCTTGATGAATATTAATGACAAGTGTCCAAACAATTCACACCTACAAACACAGCTGTCTCTCAGCATGTTCTGCCGGCCACTAATCAGCACCTTTAGTCCTTCAACATGATTGAACCTCAGCCAAGGGACTGTTAATCATCCACCATGGCTGCATGTGTCTCAATCTCACCCTATTCAAAATAATTTCCTTCATATTATAGCTCAGTTTTCTTCCCAATACAGTGGAGAGGTGTAATCAAGGAGCTGCTGGAGGAAGGACAGCCTGCCCAGCTGTGTGTCAGCAGGAGGTGGGAGCTGTTGTGCTAAGAATCAATGCCTGGTTCCACCATGAATATACTGCAAAAAAATAAATGAGCCATAATGACAGCTTTATTCAGGGCTTTATGTGAAAGAGTGAGTCACTTTTCTTGGCTTAGTACAGCAGCGAGCGGAGGAGGGTAGAGGTAAACACAGATCTGCTGGAGTTCAGTGCAATTCAAAGTCAAAGTAAGTGAAGCTGGTCTTGAAAAATAGGGAAGAGCACTTAAGTAGGAATAAATGATGGTGATGGAGTTTGTTCTGTGAACTATGTGAGTAGGCTGATTCCAGGAGGAAGGGTCAGCTATTTGTCTACAGCAGTAGAACATTATAGACCAATAAGACTTATAGAGATTTATAGACACGATATTATCAGTTCCCTGGCAGGACAGCAGGCAGCACTCTGCTGCACTCACTGTTGACTGGTCCAAGATTCTGTCCACCGTGAGCTACGCATGTACTCACTCCCACGGTGAGTGATTTTACTGTAAAGAGAAGATCTTTACTTTGTTTTAGTGTATAAACAACCACAGGAACAACACAAATCCTCCGTGTCTGCAACATAAACAACACTGAACAAATGGCTGTCGCAGAGAAGTGCACTTTAAATATGACAAACTATTCAAAAGTGTTATTTTCTTAAACTTTATCAAACAAAATGATGAGTCAGATGACATGAGGAGGAGGAGGAGGCAGATGGAGGAAACACTGTTGAAAACAGCTTTGAATGCTGAAAATGTCATTTAAATAAACGGTTTTCTGTACAGACCTGCAGTGATGGTCGATATTTGAGGTCGACCTCAAACATCAAAATCACGACTGAGTGTGGGAAAGTAAAGGAAGGGAAAGGCAGTCTAGCCTTATGGAAATAAAAATGGAAAAAATAAATTATTATTCCATTTCCTCCTGACAGAATAAACATCAATAGTCTGCAGTGTATTTATTCTTTGTTGAGTCTTGACGACCTTTAACCTTTACCACCAATTCACACTCATGGACTTGTTACATATTCTTGCAGTCAGTCATTTGATGTGTTTATTCTATAATTTGAACTCAATTTACATGCTGCCAGTACAGCAGCTCAGAGTTGTCCTGACCATGGACACATCAGAATGTAAACCAGAGGAGTCAGCAAAAAGAACTGCTTTGATAAGTTGTCATGTGACTCTCAGAGATAATTATTTTCAGTGAAAAAAAAACAAAAAACACAAATGACGTCAATGGGAAATTAGAGTAATGGAATGTTATTTTTCATGTCTAGGAATTCATGTCTGATTCATCCGGAACAATTAAATAAAAGTGGACTTGGCTGGACTGCTGCCTTTTACTTAGCCGCCTCAGATGGAATGACCTTGATGACTCAGGATCTACTTCGACATATCTGATTTATCAACAGTAATGGGAAGACTGCACCACAGAATTCATTGTCCACAAACTCCAAAATGATCACATAATCAGCAGCAGCACCCATCTCAAGGGTGAGACAGGGAGAAAGAAGGAAAGAGACTTTAGGTCATCCTCAACTGACGTGGATCGATATCCTGCTGTCCCTCCTTCAACACCTCCTCCTCTTCTTCTCCGCTGTCACAGATAGGAAGCGACGTGAGGTGACACCGCCGCGCCAAGGCCAATACGTTATCATATCCCCCGGCGTTTTCCAACAGCTCTTGATTTTTGCACACGATTCTGGAGGAAGGCTGGTCCTCTCACATCAACACTGTGTTATTTTAACCAAAACTCAATAATCACAGTGCAGAGGAAAATCTATAAATCAAACCTCTATTATCTCTGACCAAACCTCAAGACCCTGAACACTGTTAACAACATGGTGGAGATAATGAGTTAGAATCTCATTATTATGAGTTAGTAACTCTAACTAACAATAATGAGGAAATATCTCGATATTTTAACTTAAGAATCTATTATTCTCTACATCAAGTGGTGGAAATGGGCTTCAATAAGAGTTTTTGATTGATTCAAAATTGAACCGACATTGTACCGGAGGTTCATATATAAGTTATTGCTTTTATTTCCAACCACCTACTCATACTGTTGTGAATAGTCTCTGATTTTTATGTATTTATTGTGTATTTCAAATCTTTGATGTTTGACTTTGGCATCATGCGGTGATGATTTGCCCAGTAATTGTTTCGTATTATTTTTTTCTAAACCACCGCCGCTGCATGCAATCAACAAAGTCCGACTCTACTGTGATTATACACAGGTGGGTGAAATAACATTTCTTATGAAAACTTCAATTGAATTTTATCGAAGCGGTGAGTCACCGTGTCTCGATTTAGCTTGGACACGTTTCCATCTTATTAATGCAAAAAAAACTCTTGAAAGAACTTTTGGAAGACCGAAGTTTCTAAGCGACAGTCTATCTATGGTTCTCCTGTTGAATCTGTCCTCTAAACGTCTGTGCCAAACACCTGCAGTAACATCTTGTTTCCTACACCAATAAGGAAATATCATAAATAAACCCTGTAATCAACCCTTAATTGTTTTAATGCAGAAAATCTCCTCCGTAACACGGCGCCTCTGTATCCACTCACTGCTAATTAGACGGAGAGGGGTTTTGTGAATGACTTCATTATTCATTTAACCAATGTGCTGCACTTATTACAGCAGCTGAACAATAAAAGATTGTGGATAATTTACCAGGAGACGAAAATCTCTTCTGGTCTGAATGTGAGCCTGTAATTAGTTCAGAGGGAAATGAGTGAGAGGTGACACAGAAAAATGAAAATCAGTGCAAAGTCTCCACTGTGAATACCCCTCCTCCCCAAAAAAACCACAACAGCTGCCATTGCCCCTTCTGCAACGGACCCTGCCCCTCACTTTGGGCACCACTTTGCTCACCTGTCATGTCCTACGACTGCTGTAGTACTACTTGGGGCTCCTAGGCTGCGTCATTTGGAACAAAAGTCTAGGTGGCGCTGTTATGGAAACACAGAGATAATAACAACTGAACGTCCCATTCTGCTGCAGGAAAATGATGCAGTGGCAGTAAAGCACCAGCTGCAGTTACAGTATACTGTGCACACAGTCAGGCTCCCACTGTTTCTGAATTATATCACACCCCCGCACACAGACAAACAGCAGCAGTGCTGTGTTCAAGCCATATTTTTTAATCCAGTCATGGTCAAACCGGATCAATAGTGAACAAAGCCAGGAGCCGTTATATCTCTGCCCCGAGTCCAGAGCAGCCCAGACCATCAGAGGCAAACGTCCTCCCTCTGATGCATGGCTTCAGTCCAGCAGCTAATGGTCACTGGGCTGCAGGAGAGAATCTTTTACAGCCGTCATCATTCCTCATCAGTGGGAACGCTTTCTAGGTCCAGCAGAGGCTGCGTCCCCTGAGAAAACTCAAACTAGATTAATAGCGATTAATCGCGATTAGGGATATGCTGATATTGTCCAAACAGTCAATTTCCGTTTCCGATACTGATATAGCAGGGCAGTGTTGGCCTGGTGGTTAAGGAAGTTAAGTGCTGCCTGCTCACTGAGGTGATGGGTTAAAGCTGTGTTTCTCAATTCTTTTCTGCCATGCCCCCCCTAGAGGACAGAATTCCCCTCTGCCCCCGAATTGAAATACTATTAAGCGCCTGGTAATATTAATTTATTTATCTGTACAAACAGTTGTATGAGTTGCTGGCACTAGCATTCTGCATACAACTCCCTGATTATTAAAATAGATTAATAAAATGGGCTGCAATGCTGCCATCTAGTGGCTTTCACTTTCACATACAGCCGTTTTTCCCCAAAACTTCACAAATCTTTAGGGCAAACCCAGGCATCGTGTTATCGGGTTTTTATTATCGGAGGAAAAAGAAAAAAAGGTAACAATTCTTACAAATATTACAAAATTATGCTAATATTGGTCTGATAGTATCGGTGGGCGTTTTTTATTGGACATCCCTAGATGTGATCGTAATTACGGGCGTTTTTTATCGGACATCCCTAGATGTGATCGTAATTACCATGATCAATTATCAACCATCATCTGTCACATGTTAACACCTGAGTGGAAACTAGAACTAGGATTTTCCTGGCCTTCTCGTCGTAGCTAACGACTCCTGGTTACCTCAGAGAAGCAGGATAAAAATCCAGAATCAAGTCAGTTTTCTATTATTATTCCAACAAATCACTTCATGCCTCCAGGTTATATCCCGACAGCACAGCCTAAACAGCCATCAAATCTATCGCCCCCTGTCTGCCGACTTTATTCCAAACTGTCATGGACCTGAATGATGACACCAGAACCAACGTCTCTATGACGGCAGCAGAAGAGCGATCGTCAACGGGAATAACAAACACAAACACACTTACTGTACGCTCGCACACACACACACTCACACGTGTACACACACTCACCGTGATGGCGTTGCCACCGGGGCCACAGACTTTGCAGAAAAGTTCCACTTGCAATGTCACATTCCATAAACTCCCACACCCTCCCCTCTACAGTATTTTCTCCCCCGTGCAGCTTGACTGCTCCTCACCCTGAAGCAATTCCACAACCCTCAGCTCTGATGGTTATCTCGGCTCGATGCACAAACCATCGCAGGATCTAAAACACTGCAGCATAAACAATCCCTTCATGCCTCCTCCCAAAATGTGGACTTTATGTCTGATAACAATAATCTTCCCCAAACTGCGACAACTTCCCCCCACCAAAAATGAAACACCCATTTTTCATCTTATTCATTTTTGCCTCCAATGCAGCAGGTAATTAAATCAGTGGACGGAGGTTTTTGAAGCTGTTGCTGGGCAGTGAAGTCAGAGTCTCCACTGGACGATGTGTAAAGACCGGAGCTCGGTGTGCGCTGCTGTGTCAGGGTCATTGGATATTTCTGAGAATTCAATTATCCGGTGTGAAAGGCTTTCATTAAAATGAAAAAGCTTCTGTGCTAACTCCCCAGACAATAGCCGCGCTGCTAGGAGAGAAGAAAGGGAAGAGGGAAATAAAAAGGCCAGTGATGTTTAATAAATCAATAGTTTAGTCAAGAAAGGAAAGTATAAAAACGCCATTAACGTAGATTAGGACCATATTGGCGTAATCAGGGCCGGACATGACCCATGTGGGCTGTAGAGCCTCGGGTTGGACACCAGATGCTGTTGTTTATAACATAAATTTCAAGTGACTATCCTCCCTTTCATACTACAGTATTATTCCTGATGGGTTAATGTTTTAAAGACAGCCATTCTGATTGAATAAAGAGGGCTGTCAATCAATTAAGGCAGAGGTCCTCAACCCCTGGTACATAAGAGGTTTGGGACCACTGAAAAAAAAGGGCATTCCAATTTCATCACTTCCACCGATAAAAGAAATCCGGGGGAAAAAAAATCCACTTTTTGTTGCTCAAAAACACAGTCAACATTTAAACGCCCTGTTTGGAAAAAAGACAAAATGTTTTTTTATGTGGCCCCCGCCCTCTAAAAAAAGTTGGTTTTAAAGTATTTTCTGTTACCTTGTTTTAATCGTGTTAACTTTGACATATTATATTGTGTGATTGATAGGTTTTTCATGCTGAATGTTTTTGAATTTGTACTAAATTTGAAGCCTGAAAGAAGTCGTATAAAAAAAAAAAGATACCAAAACAGTACCACTGTTTATAAACCAGTGGTTTAAACAGTAAAAGACCAATGGCCTGCAGCAGCAACAGAGGATTTTATTTTTTATTCTTTTTTATTTTCAGCTGATAAAACTGAATCCTCTCAGAGCTGAGGTCAACACAAACCTAACCCAGAAGTTACGTTGAACTCCTCTAACTTTAATTCCCTCTGACACTTCGCTTTGGGCAACACACTGTACAATGGCATTAGGATCAGCAGACCAAAACAACCGTAGAAATAAAACTGTTGTCTGTGTCTCTGTCTGCTGGTCGGCCTGGAAGCCTCGGTTTAGCCTGGAACTCCAGATAAAGGTCAGAGGAGAAGGTCACGGATCAACAGAACCACACAGAACACATGGTCGTTCAGAAGTCATCTGTCCATCCGGGCACATTTGTACAGTCGCTAGGTTCATGTTTTCCCTTTTTTTACCCTTTAGTTGGATAAATGTCTGAATGCAGTGTGTTTCTAAAAACAAAACACAGAGATTGCAGAACCGTTCCGTCCAGCAGCGAGCATGCATGGCTGGACACACACACAATCACAGGCTGTGCAGGTAATAGGAAGGTAATGTGCCATAGAACATGAGAAAGGAAAACACAGACAGCCTGGTGGTCTGTGGAGACGCACGGACCACCGACGTGCCGCTGTTTCAACTACCGAACAACTCACAAACATCGACACTGAGAAAGTTCTCCGTCAGTGCAACGTTATCAGCAGGTGCGACAATTAAAATCACATTAAGCTCCAACAAACAGTTCCACACATTTTGAAAAAAAACAAGACCAGAAATGAACCGAGGATTCAGTCATGGTCTAAGAACGAGTTCATTTGCACTTTTGCTCTGCCCCCCCCCCCTCGCCCCCTCCACTCACCTTCTCCCCCCCTTCAACATATTATCACATCCTTGTGGGGAAGAGGGGGGGAGGGGGCGCTTGGAGAGCCAGGACTTATACATTCAGGGAGGAAAACATTTTAAGCCCTGACTGTGTGGGAGCCATTACCCATAGAGCCGTGTTATTATGTGCTTGTCACATCAGTGATAAGTGGAGCCATTGTGGGCAGCGCTGCACTGTAGATGTGGCAGTTCTACACAACTATTAGGGCAGAGACGGAGCGTCAGACTATTGTATTATTAAAGCCTGATTTTCTCCTGCCATGGGAGGCTGACGACGACTGGTTGGCTCTCAGTCCACTTCACCGTGTCTCACCAGGCCCAGTCCACACAGCAGCCTATCAGTAACACAGCATATCATAAAAAAAACATGCTTGCCGCCTGTTAATAGCATAATAGCATATCTGCTGCTAACATTTCCCAAAATATGAGATCAATACAGTATTTTTTTTAAGGTTCTTATTAGTTTTTTTGGTGCTGTGATGCGTTCAATGACATGTTTACCTTTCCGCTCTGAAGGAAATATCTGTATTAATATATTTAAATTAGGGATGGCTCGATCCGATACTCAGATTTGGTATCAGACGGATATTGGTCTAAATTTAAGGATTGAACATCGATCAAATTTATATATCTGCAAAATGTATAAATATATGAAATATATTTATATAAAATATATAAATGTTTCAATACATTTTTGATCTATTTCTAAGTTGTAAAATAAATTCTAAAATGCTACAGCTTCAACGTGCTTAAATAATATCAATAAAATTCTGTCAAACTGGAATATTACACATATATACATATACATGTAACTTTAAGTTAAAGTCCCACTCGTCTGGACGTCACTGTTTTAAAACTTCCTTCTTGGCTGTGAGAGAGTGGAGAATATGCATCTTTCTGCTTCTATATATAACTCCGGCCGTCTGTTGGGCCAACATGAAGGGACATCTTGTCATTATCATGCTGTAATGAACAAGGTGATAGAGCGGCGTGATCGCTCTGAGGCCTCATTATTTCCATATGCAAACAACAATAAACCAGGTCATCGACGAAGACGAACAAAAGAAGACGTAATTAAAGTCATATGAAAAGAAAACCCCACAGTGATATAAATTAATTAAATTTAATTAATTTTATATTTACTTAACAATATTTTAAAACACAATATTCAGTACTTGTGGTATAACAATGTTTTGAATAAATCAGACAAATATATTTTCTCAAAAATAATAATAATATAAAAGGATTCCTTCTGTCGTAGTGAAAAACATGGAAACCAATGAAAGATTTTTTTTCCTCTTCCCTCTTTGTATTCATTTTATATTCAATATTTTTTCTCAGTTTGTCTTTTTGTTGCTTCCTCCTCAAGTTTTCAGTTTCTGAAAAACTTGAAAATGTTCCCAGAACTAAATGTTGTCGAAAAGTGGTCAAAACCATCACTGTGGTTGATGTTTGTGCAGCAGCAGGGGGTTTGGATGTGGGGTGCGACCCCATCGTCGGGGGAATGGGGGGGGTGTTCTGGCAGGTCATGTCAGAAAGTGGCAAACGAGTGTGAGGACAAAGATCGGCTGCCAACAACTGAGGCCTGAAAAAAAAGCCTTTAAATGTTGTTGAAGTTGTGGAGCAGCTTCAGACGAGTCAGGACTACAGATGTATTTTATATTTTACATTTTGACTGGTTTGACTGCAGTTCATAGATATTGCTGCAGATATGATATTAGCCGTTGGTGGCGCTAGATGTTAAAAGTACTGGAACTTTTTTTATCAGTGCCTTAAATGAAATTGGACCTAAAATTTTATTAAAATGTGACAGAAAAAAACATTATATTAAAATTACCATAAGCAACAATATATACTGTAGAAACACACACACACTTATACCATTGATAATGAAAATAATATATATTTATTTAAATGTTTATAACCATTTGTCCTGAATCGGACAACACCTAAACTGCCGTAATCGTCAGATTCTCACATTTCCGACGGTACCTGAACGCGCCTCATGAGAACGCGCCTCATAGCTAGCGTGAGGCTATCTAGCGCAAAATGGACAGTTTTTTCACAAGAAATAGACCGAAGGAGAGTTTATTTTTTCAACTGTGAGAGGTGGAATTAACCTATATTTGTTTTTGCTCTAAACTGCTGCTCAAACGTTGTTGAGAGTTGAGGTGAGACTGGGTTCGAAGTTATATTTATATAATCTAACGCCTCAGTGAAAGACTGGAGGTGTCGATGTTCAGCCCCACGATGTTATATTGATAATATCTCACATTTATTCGACATATATATATATATGATTTCTGCAAGGTAATATGCTTTATATTAATTATTATTTAGTTTTTTTAAAAAACAATGTAAATAAAAACTTGTATTAAAATTGTTTAAATAGAAAAAAATAATTAGACATTATGTTCATTTCATTCCAATCAAAAACATGTATAACATAAAAAGTAATATGTTATATATGAAAAAAAACAGAAAAAAACGTATTTTTACAATTAAAAGAATTCAAAGAATTTCGTCCGTAGCTAACAAAAAAAAAAACCTGAAAAGAACGTATTTTGACAATTCAAAGAATTTCGTCCGTAGCTAACGTTAGCTTGGGTAGCCGCGCTAGCCGCAACAGGTTTGCCGAAGAAGAAAATAAACCCAACACAACTAAGGTTATGAAATACTAATAAACAAAGTTACTCTTGCCATCCTTTGGATGCATTACTGCCACCTACTGGGCTTTACTGTGCGCATCAGTGTTATTGAGTGTGTCAGACACCAGAGAACTAATTATTTTTTTAATCCATAATTATTTTTTCTTAATTTATTATGCTAAATTTCCAGGTCAGGTTCAGCCCTGATTAATAGTTAAACCACTGGATGTGCATCTACCAGAATAACTCATTAACTTATCAACACAATCATCAAGTCAACAACTGAGGTGTAACTAATATTGAGTATTCTGGTGTGTTGTGACAGATGCAGACTGATCCGTGGAACAACAACGGCAGTCATTAGTCTGATGGTCTGGCTGCGTTTCATCTGATTACCACTTCTCACCAGCAGGTTTTTAATCAGCTAACTGTAGAGGTGGCAGGAGAAAACCGCAAAGACTGAACAAGATGGTAAGTCGTTATTAATCACGTCTAATCTGTAGGAGACTTAGAAAGCACAGGACACGATTGTTTCCCCTGTCTTTGAATTCAGAATGATGTGAGCAGAAAGAGCCTCCTCTCAAGGTTCGCCGCCGCGCGCGCAGATGTTTGCCTGCAAAATTAGATATTGATTTTCTGCTCTTTGCTGCCCTCTTGATGCTTTGTGTTGGCCCAGCACCAATCGTTTGGTTTTTACTTCACCGGCTGCTCATTTGCTCATTTGCTGCTTTGCCGCCACGACATAAAAACACACACAACATTACGAATTATTTTCTCTAAACGTCAGAGTCTGTCTGCCGGAGTCTTAGCTGATTCGTGCGGCGGCCATGTTTGTTTCTGTGCGCGCCAAAAGTTAGCTCTACCTTTCGTACGTAGTGTTAACCAGTGTGGTAGAAACCAGGGGAAAATGTTTTGTGGTAATTAAAAAACAAACTATTTGTGTATGCCATACAATATCCATACAAGGCAATTAAAAATAGCACCTCCTTCTGGTCTGGCAAAGTAATGCACCGGTAAGTGAGTCAGTAACAGAAAAAACATGTTGCTTTTGTTTGGCAATATAAAATTGTATATATAAATTACACTATTAGTACTTACAGTCATAAATCATTTTATGGATTTTTGTGTACACAATGTGATACATCACAACAAACACGTGTAGAAATCCTGCACAGTTACACACAATAAAAATAAATATTTTCATATTACTGCAAGTCAAAACACGGGGGCCGCTGTTCCACTTCCCCTCTGAAGGGCGAGTGCATCTGAGTAAACAAATATACACAGTTTTAATCTATCAGCCCGGTGTGACAGGCCCATTTCCTCTGAGTCTGCACTGCTGATAGTTTAGCTGAATTCAAAGCAGGAACAATTTGTCATGTCCACGCCGCTCTGCGGCTTCCATTACTAACCATTCCACTATGGTAAAGGCTAGCGGGCTGTCATGGCTGACAGTTAAACAACATTTTTGTTTTCTTCAAGCTCAGCGTTGCGTCTGCCGTCGCTCTGACACTGACATCTGGGCCGTTCGCACTGAAAAGGAGGGAAATAATCAAAACGTCATCTGGTTAAGAAGTGCACGAAACAGCAGATGCTACGGTTTGGTTTGAGAAAAGTACATTATTAGGTTGTCACACATCAACGCTCATGTGTACTGAGAATACTATTGAGTTTTATTGATCTATCTTCCTGCAGATGACGTTTACTGCTCACTGACGAAATTGGTTTTCTTTTATCGTGTAAAATATTCTTCTCCTTTTTTTAGGCTGTTTCCTTGGCCTTCAGCTCCTTGTTCTCCATCTGCTTAACCGTCTTCGGAATTCATGTTAGAACCCTTTCTATTTGGTCGCTACCACCGACGAGCTCAGCGTCGTTAGCCGTGCCATGTGTCCTGTGCTTATGCAAGAACCGAAAATTGTTCTGTCTCCAAGTACGAGAACAGAATTGTCATATTTTTTCCCCGCCTCGGGATTTCTCACAGCTTGTTCTTGACACGTCCTTTGAGCAGAACTTTTTCTCATGTGGAGCTTCACAGCTATTGTGTGATTGGCCAGGATTTGCGTTAGCAGCGTGGTTAGCTCTACTCATGTTGAGTGGTCAAACATGCCGCCTATTTTGGCTGATTTTACACCTGATTTCCTGTGTTGTACGATACGTCCCGACCAGCAGGAAGCTGCGTTTGTTCCTGCGGCCTAGAGAAAAACTTTCTTTGGTTTGTTTTTGTGGCGTATATAAATGAATTAAAGATGGTGACACTGTCTCCAAACCATAGAGAGCCGATGGTTTACTACCTCAGTTGTAAACCTATACCGTTATCTTAGCATTATCTCTGGATGTATAAAACAGAAACAGCCTCGGCCTCTAATGGTTCCCAGAGGAAGCTGAAACAGAAACAGTTAAAGTTTAAGAACCTCCTCCTGGAGCTAAGACTAAACTTACCACAAACTTTTCTAGACAACAAACAATTGCATGTAACTGCATCATTTTTTTTTTCCTTCATCGCTCAGCGTACGCCACAAACCAACATCGTGCTGGAAGCGCTTCTGTTCTTCTCACAGCCTCAGTGTTGAGTCCTTGAATATTTTCAGGTAAAAATGGACACAATAACAACACAAAAATAGCTATTACGATAGTTTAGTGCAGCTGCAGCCTCGGGCTAATTTAAACCGACTCCTCTCACAGAAACGCCCCCGAAGCTAAAAGCAGATAAAAAAACAAAAAAACAGTTTAATTTTCTTTCTTTTTTCATTTATTCATCCTTCACTGAGCAGCTTTGAACAGGAGTACAGAGACATGTGAGGTGATGAGGGGAAACACACCTGATACTTCAGACAAACAAAGGTTCTGGTCAGGATCACATGACTGTTGTCCAACTGACCTGTGGAAAACAGACATTGTGTGAAGAGCAGACAATTCCCCCCTCCCCCAACAGGGGTATCTGGGTACAGACTGTAGAAGTTACCAGCTTGTGTGGTTGATACGAAAACATCCTGGATATGATGTCATTTGGGAAGAAGTTGAAGTGTTTGACTTGTTAATTAATATAATAACAGAATCATAAAACAGCTCAGTTACAGGTCTTTACTGTGGGGGGCCGGGGGCGGGGGGTAAAGGAGGCACCAGAACCCCCAAAACATCAGAAAGTTGCTGACGTTGGTGCAGCACGTGTCAGAGACCTGTGGAAGATTCTATGAAGATCTTGGGGTCCACCAGGGATGCGCTTCGAGCCCCCTGTCGTTTACATTGATTTAATAAGAATCAATCATACTGGAGAGTTGTCCCGCCCCCTCTAGAGGTGAAGTTAGAAAAGCATCTTCTTTTTTTTTTTTTTAGTTGAAAATTTTAAAAGCAAAAAGAAACAGTAACAAAGGTCTGGGCGACTCTTAAATCTCTTTCTTGTTACTTCCCCCAGAGTTGAAGATAAAAGCCCAATTTGTCCGTACGCCTGGAGTTCGGTTCGGCAGCGTGGGGTTTTAAACGTCTCACTGCTCCGACTTTATTCTAATTCAACGGTGCCTGGTACTGTGGGTGGCTAAATTAGTGCTCTCCGTCTCCGGAGTGAAGTCCTGGAGTCACAGTCCTGGAGGCAGGTTTAAGTGGAGACCCTGTCAACTTCACACAGAAGGATGGACTCACTTTTAACAAGCACAGCAGAGCGGGGGTTAAACTGACTAATACTTCCTGTCAACCACGATTGAATTTAAACCCAGATTTAAAACACGCTGTGGAGGAAAAAAAAAAAGTCAGAGGAAACGATCGAATTTTAACTTGGTATTTTACTTCCTTTTTTTTCTTAATAACTGGTTCATTTGGTTTACGTTAATGATCCGGCAGCGTGGCAGCTACCGTAGTATTAGCTGATCGCAGTTTACGCGATATCAGTCACAGTATTAGGTAAGGAGTTATTTGAAATATTAGCATAAAAAAAGAAGGAGGAGGAGGAGGAGGTGGAGGTCCAGGCTGCACCAGGTGTGTTTAATGGAGGGAAATAGGATCACGTTGTTTGACATTTAATGTAGATAGAGGAACAGCAGGCGGACGACTTCCTGCGGCGTGTTTTCATGTCGCTGTGATTATTATTTTTGTTCTCAGTGAGTGTGATGATTATTCACACACACATGATACAGTACGTGTGTGTGTGTGTTAGCTTTGATGTGTCTCAGTAAGGGGGGGCAGCCACTAGATATTTTTTTATACAACACTCACACACATCTGGCTAATTAACATAAGTAAACTTCCCGTCTCTGTGCCGTCAAACCTGCGGGCACCAAATGTCCACACATACTGTTAAACACATGGACCGTTCTCCAGTACGTCACATGATCACATTGGTCTTATGCTAAAGTAGATTGGAGAACCCCCCACCACCACCCCCTGGTGGACACAGCTATAGCTATTAAATATAGTAACAGATCAGTACAATTTCATCAAAGTGGAGAAACAATGAAGACAAATGGTTACATTTCAAATTCATCTGTTTTACTCAGACCAGCAGCCCTACTATTTTGGGACTCCTATATGAAAACAAGAGCACTATCCTAGTTGGTTCTAGTTCATATTGACCAGTTTGACTCATGATTCGGACCTGTTTTGTACGTCATGGACAAAAATCTTTTTCCGACCGTTGACCTTCACGGACCGTGTCCTAAAACTTCGTTCTAGGATTGTTCTGTCTTCGTTCCTAGGACATGATATAGTTCTTTAATAAAGGTCTGATGGAACATTCTCCAGATGTTTCTTTGGAAATATTTCTGTAGCCGAGCTTTTATTGGGTGAAAAAACTTTAGTTTTGGGTCAAAGTCTCTCATTTCTCAGTTCAGTTGAAGTCAGATCTCTGATCCATTCAGTTCCTCTTCTCTTGTTTCTGTTTGATTTTTTTTTCTCTCTCTTGTTCATAACGTTTTTATTTCCTGGACGTTGGCAGCCGTTTTTTTTTTCCTCTCACTTCATTTCGTCTCTGTTATCGAATCTACTCTCATCCTCCTCCGTTCGTCTGCGTCTTTTCACCGACGTTTTCTGTCTGATACTAATTTTGACGCTCATTATTTTTGAACCGGTGCCGTCTTAGTTCCCAGCACGACATCTTCATTATGTCCTAACAAATCTGTGTCAGGAGGAGAAACGGGAAGTCAATAATCATTAGGTTTATGAATAGTGCATGATAGGATGTTTGTGTGTGTGTGTGTGTGCGCGCGTATGTGTGTGCAAGCATTTGATTGGCGTCTGGGGAGCGTGTGATGAACAGGCGGCTCAGTCGGCTGAATAATGCATGATGTCAGTGACCGTTCATTTACATCAGTGATGGCTGAGCAGAGTGGCGGTTCTCGGTACTAAACTTGTGCAATGTTCCTTTAAAAATACATTTCAGATGTTCATGTTAGAGTAAGGACCAGCTAAGAACAAACAGTTCCATGTTCTGGTGCTACTACGGCTACAAACAAAACTCATTCAAATAAACACAACAAACATCATCAACACAACATTTGATTTGTTGTGTTATGAAATGGGAATCCACTCAGGTTTTTACTAATTTCATCCATTTTTTTGTTTTTCTCCCCATCAGTTGCCGCTCCACCTGGTCGTACAGCTGCTGCTGCATTCAGGGACTTTTCCGTTGGACCGTCGTCCTCTGGGCGAAGGCACATTTGTTATTCCGAGGTAAGTCACCAACACACGGCTGAGCAGTTCTGACATTTCTGTCTGCAGACTCGGCCACAACCGTCAGCGTAAATGTCAACCAGATTTCTTTTAAAATATTCAGGACATGAATCTGCTGCAATGATCGTTAAATTTTTAAGGAAAATATAAAGAAAAATATTTTTAAAGCAGCTTGTTTTTAAGGCTTCGTTCACACTGCAGACAAAAGTGGGACAGGTCCAATTTTGTTGTCCATATTCCTAGAGTAGGTCACTTCGGAGTTGACACCGGAGCCTGGTGGAGGTCACATTAAACTTTAATGTGAACAACCACGAAAAAAAATCTTAACAGAAAATGTGAATAAAGCCACAGGACCTGCAGTGTGAATGAACCCTCGACTCATTCAAACTAGATTTAAAAAAAAATATTCCAAAAGAATTCATTTTTATTCCACATCAGAAAACTGCAGTGTAGAGCAGGGGCGTCAAACCTGGGGTCCACGGACCAAAACCGGTCCACTAGGAGGTTCAATCTGGGCCGCTTGATGGAAAATTTTGAAAATAAAAATTACACAAACATTTCATGTTCAGGATTTGAAATATTATATTTCATTAAATATAAAGATTTATCTAATATATGTGTAAGTCCTTGCATGAAAACTACATGGACTTATTGTTATTGAAGTAAGTCCTTGCATGAAAACAGAGGGGAAAACTACATGGACTTATTGTTATTGATAGGTAATTATTATTATTGTTCCGGTCCGACCCACTTGACTTCTTATTAGGTTGGACGTGGCCCCTGAACCAAACTGAGTTTGGATCAAACCCGACCTGAGGATGTTTTTCACTGGTGCGAACCTTCGGTTGTGAATGATCTCCAGTGTCTGTGCGGTCGACGTCTTCGGTAATCCATCCAATCAGACCGACCTCGGGACAAAGCTCCGCAGCTGATTAATGTGGAAATTGCTCCGTGACCAGAGGCTCGGAGCAGAGTCGCTGTTAAATTGGGAAGAAAAAAAAAAAGAGGTTTGGTCTCATTCTTGAAATATAACCTGACACACAAACGTACGTACGTATGTCGACGATGACGGATTCACACTCGGCTCTGGTGTGTGTTACATCTCACTCTGTGGAGCAGCTGAATAGCAGTGGCTCCATGAAAGTGAATATCTTATCAGATCGTCTTTGACGCTGCGTCATCGCTCACAGACGTCAAGTCCAAGGCTGCGTGTCTTTTTTTTTTAACATTTAATGATTTATCTTAGAAATCAGCAAAAATTGTCTTCATTTTTCTTTGTTGTTTTTTTTTCATCCTTTTTTTTCTCGCTGTAGGTCTGATGGACAGAAACAGTGTGTGTGTGTGTGCGTGTGTGTGACAGTCGATGAGTCAACAGGAGCAGACTTTAGAACCTTCTGTTCTTTTTGAATCACCTTCTGCACAAAAACTTAAACTTTTGTACGTCACACATGACTGTTAGCGTCAGGTGCAGTAAAACCCTCTGCTTTACTGCTCTTTACTGCCTCAGCACTTCTGCCCCTCCCACCCCCCAACACTGACTCCCTGCCCCCCCCCACATGTAGCCCATTTTAGCCTATTAGTCTCCGATTTGCATTTCCTGTTTCCCTGAGAGACGACCACAGTCCGTTCATTCACAACCACGGCGTCCATGCATAAAACCACTTCCTCCTTCTAATTGGCCGCCTGACTTTACACCGCGTGTCACATCATGATGTATAAAAGTGAGTCTGTGGCCTGGGGGGGCGCTGTGCACTGCTGCATCAGCAGGTTTGCAGCTTCAGTCCTTCACTGTTTTCTCCTTTGGTAGCAAATTAAAGTGAATTTGTGAGACCTCCGAGGCCCGGGTCTGGACGCACGCCGCTTCTGTGCAATTATGCAGAGGAGGCGAGAGATAAACACATGCATATTGGACCGCGGAGAGTTCCGGGGTGAACCAGTTTGGTGGAAACAGGAAGACAGAAGTGCTCCTGGTGGTTTTTGAAGTGAGGCTCCTGAACCTAACCGTGTGTGATCAGTTAAATCAGCGCTAACAGCAGTGAGCTCCCCGGACGCACGGCCAATGAAAAGGAGTTGTTTTTTTTTTCTCCAAAAGACTTGAAGTTAGAGCTTCTTATAAAAAGACTGTCTGGTGGCAGTTACACAGTCGTTCCATTTGAACTGCAGCGACAAACATCGCACTGGATTCGTCAGTGGCAGCAAATGAGGCTGCAAATTAGCAGGAAGTAATAAAAATGATCATCATGTTACCAACGGTGCTGCAGTCACTGCCGAGTTCAACTTGGACTCCACCAAGTGACTCGGCCGTCACTGTGTCCCGAGGAGCCTGAGGACCATGTTGGACCGACGTCGTTCATCCTGATTGGACACAAGGTTCTTCTCACAGGCGTCGAGTGAAATGATCAGGAAAAAAAAAGTCCATGCTCACAAACCTCAGGTCTCAAGTCTCGAGTCTTTGTTTGTGACTTGTGACTCGAGGCCCTCTCTTTCCGCCCTCTACTGTCCATCTTTTATAACTACAGTCTTGCAGACCAATCATAACTGGGCCACAGCAGAAGGTCGCCAGGTTTTAATTCTCTTTTTTTTATACAGATTATATCTGTAATTCAATGTGGAGTAGGATGCGGCCCACACCCCACTCTGTGTCCTCTGATCGTCCTAATATGTCTCACCTGTGTCCACTCAGTCCACAGAGTATTTAACCTCAGTGTCAGCTCAGCTGCTGCGGCTGCTTCTCTCCCTCTGGGACCTGATGTTGAGTCGTTTAGTTTGGATGTTTGTTTTTTAAATGTCACGCCTTTTAATACATAAGTCTGTATACAAAATGTGCAACATGACATGAGCAAGACGAGAGACAAAGACTGCAGGAGAGAAAACCAGATGTTGGTCTCTGGAGGTCTGAAGTTAAACAGATGAAGTAGGAATATGAAGTAAAAATAAAAGTCAAAATCAAAACCTGGATAAAGAAGATGAACCTCTGTCTGAAGGCAGTATTACTTCACTTATACTATACTGCCTAGTACAACTCTCCAGTTCTACTCAACTGTCTTCATCTGATGTGGGAAGAACAGGCCCCCGCCTCCCCCCCGACCTCTCCTCCCCCCTGATGTTACAGCCGCAGCACTTTTGGTTGGACTGACGATGAGACCAGACTTCAGTCTAATTAGGGGCGTGGCCTTTACACCCTCTGCTCCCCTGTAGACATGACAGCTGTGGTAAATGAGATCCCAGTGGGATTTGAACCCACATCTCCTCCAGCTCTGGTGGGCTGGTGAGACCTGGAGAGTTAGGGAAGTGGATCTCAAGAAAGTGTGGGAGGAAGTAAGTGGTTAGGAAACACCAGCCGTGGTTGGTGGAGCCCAGGAAAGAAGTCAGAAGACGAGGGTCAGAGTTTTTTTGAGCTGTAGTTTTTCCATGCAGAAGAAAATATTTTGTTCCTGGTGTGACTGAGGAAAACAAACCGTCAAGAGCAGAAGGAGGGAGATTTGTTTAAGGACCGATTCCTGGAGGTGGAATACCTGATTATAGAGATGAAAAAAAAACTGACAGGAAGAAAAAGGGAAAACTGGAAGAAAAAAAGATTGAAAAACAACAGATTAAAAGTGAAAGACGGAATCACAATGAAAGAAGTCGTGCCGGACTGCAGCGGCACGGGGGAGGAATTGGTAAACAGGGAGGTGGGAATGACCAAAATGAAATTGCAGAGTTGCTGTTTGTGGAAGTGCCGGGCAAAAGGAAAGGTGGGAGCTGAGGCTGCAGGCAGAAGTAATGAGGCAGGTGCAGTGGAAGACGGATGACGAGTGTGGAGACCTGTGAAATTATGCATTCAGCCCTTCCACCTGTGAGTGTTCTCACGGAGAATCTAATAAGTGAGCGAGCGGCCTCATGTTTAGTGATGGGGACGAATCAGGGATATTGGATGGAAGCTTTGTGTACTTCCTGTGACCGGAATCATCTCTGTCGTCACGGTCCGTCTGCCTCGTCATCCGTCCTCTCACCTACATAAACGGTTCTGTGGATTTTTAAACTGATAGATTTGCCGACCGTACATCCCATAATTTACACAAATTGCAGGACAGGAGTTTTTTCGTTTCACCCAAATCACCTTGAGCTTAAAATAACCATCTCAACGTGGAGTCAAAAACTCTTGATGTTTGTTCCGAGTCACCGTCAAGGACTGAAATCCAACAAATTCCAAGAATTTTTTTATTTATTCTTTGTGGACAGCGTTAACTTGAACTCGAACTCCTCATCGATTGTGCACTAAATTTAGCACAATATTTGAGTTTTCTGAACCGTTTTGTTTAGACTTTTGCGCAGTTGAAAGATTTAAATCTGCTTTTTCACTCATCTGCATTTTTTGTGTTTGAATCTTCATCTAAATTTGAAAAAAATAAGACATTTAAAAAAGGATTTAAATATCTTTAAATACATAGAATTAAAAGTGTGTTTGAAATGTTATTTTAACCTAAATTGAATGATTAAATGATGAATGTTCTTCCTCAGGTCGTTCTCTTACCTCCGTCCAGACTGGGAACCTGCAGCGGCAGCAGTTTTTCCCTCGAGGTACCGATTGCAGGAGCAGTGAAGATGGATGAGTTTAAAGGCCCGGGGTCAACCTGCCTTTACGACCCCTTCTCAGAAGAGGTGACAAAGAGGCTGGAGTGGGTGGAGACAGGGGTGTCAGGGTTAATGGGTTTACAGGAGCTTCAGTGATATATGACTCTGAGGGACGGTGAAGAGTCCACGTCGTAGTTATTCTCCCTCTCAGATTGATTTGTGTTGTTCAAAGGTCTCTGCCCACCTACTTCCATGACGCCTCCGATACATCCACTAGGGGCAGTGCTCAGTTCAGACCTCAGCTTCATCCAATAACAAACAAGACAGGCATGTAGCAGAACCGGACTCTGATTCCGTGTACTCGATACTTCGTGGTATTTCAGCCTAGTATCTTTTCGCCCGCTCGTTGAATGTGATGTATGTATTTGACCCCCGTTGACCTTAGCTTCTCTGACAAACGAAGCAGCTAGCGTCGTCACTGTCTGCTCATCACTCCCCTCTGAATGAAACCAGCCAGTAATGGTTTTCTTGTTGGAGGATTACACTAATCTGATGACAGAAATGGCAGCTTTTGAATTTCAAGTAATGCTAATTATTTTCTCTCTCTCTCTTTCTTTCTCTCGCCCTTCACTTGCAACAAATCTTTATTTATTTACTAAAAAGGATTTCAGTTTAATTGGAAACAGCTTCTCAATTCGCAAGATATAAAAATAAATATAATCTGCGACATTATGGAGAAAAAAAATTAAATCATGCAAACAGGAACTTGGCGTCAATTCAGAGACTGATTTGAGGATTTTATATTTGGGCGCCGTTCACAAGTTTTATTTATTTAGAGCTATTAAAATGAGCCATATTTGGAAGTCGTCAGAGAAGTGGTTTGGTTCCAAACCCAACACTTCTTTGAGTTCCTGAAAATAAAACACATGAAGAATTAACATCATGTTCTATGGAAAAAATATTTACACTAAAAACAAATACTGTAAACTACTCCAGAGGAAAAGGCTTGAATATTATATTCTCGGTTCCGTAGTGTAGCTGTTAGCACGCCTGCCTCGGAGGCAGAGAGCAGGGTTCTGGGTTCAATTCCCAAAGGCAATCCAAATCCTTGACTGTTAATCCTGCTCTTGTAGGTCGCGTTGGATAAAAGCGTCTGCTGAATAAATAAATAAATGTAAACATTAACGTGCACTGTGTTCATGTATAGAATGAATACGTCCACGTCCTCCGTGAACAGCTGCACACAGACACACAGCTGGCTCCGTGGATGATGGATCAGGAACGTGTCGTCACAGTTATTAACGTTCTGACGCGACCTTGGTGTTGGACAGAGTGTGTGAGGCAGCAGTGACACCGCATTAGCCGTCTGATTACACACACCGTAACTCACTGTCACACTGGCTTCCCATGCTCATTAAAGAGACCTGCTCTGGATACGTACTCAACATGTGGTGCGCGAGAGCCGGATGGAGACGAGTTCGAATCTGGTTCTCAGAGATGAAGAGGTTGACGCTCGGTTGTAAACATAATCGTGACAAGTAATCGTGATTAATCAGAATAAAAATACTAATCATTTGACAAAGATATGTTTGCGTTAACATCAACATCTGACAGTGATATATGATGAAAATATTCTAAATTAACTTCCTTTCTCCGTCTCTTTTCTGTCTTTTCCAGTTGTTTTTCTGCTCCGGTTCAAGTGAGAGCTGCAGCAGTTTTGGTGAGTATCGTAATGCATTAAGTTAATCAAACACACGAGATAAAGCAGGAGGTTTATCCAGGTAGAATTTTTCAAAGTGTTCAACCCCTGGCCTGCGACCCATGGTTTGTCTGAACGTTCCGATGATAACTAACGCTTGGTGTTTACTAGAAAAAGATACAAACAGGACTGTAGTTCTGAAGGTCGTCCACCGTGACCTCATAATCATTTCCACAGACAAGTGTGCATTGACCAATGGCAGCTCCCCAGGGAGAACATGTGACCACCTTGTCACCCCCTCCTTCTCCCCCGCCCCTCCACTTCCCCCTCCCTAATTTCCATACAATGCGATGCCACACTTTCTCTCCTCCGTGTCCAGGCGCCGTCTTCAAACGCGTGTGCGTCAGGTTCTACTAAAGGAACTGCCACCAGAGCAGCATTCCACTGTCACTGGGACTTACCATGATGAATGAGAGAGGGGGGGGGCAGGGGAGGGAGTACGTGGGACAGGGAGAGACAGAGCATTAAAGAGAGGGAGGGAGGGATGACGGGTGAGGAAGAGGAGCAGAGAAAGACATTTTTGCTGCTTTTGGATAAATTTGAGGAATTTTAATGAAAATTAAATGGAAATGAAAGAGTGCTGAGTAGGCTGTGTATTCGCCACAGGGGGGTGCTGTTTGCAATTAGAAGTTTGTTTTATTTTTTCCCCCACCAGTCAGCAGAACAACTACATTGATTTAAACATTTAATTAAGTTACAATAAACTGAAAAGTTTCCAAATGAGTCGCCTCCTGATCAGAACACCAACAACAAACCAACAACCAGGAAAAAACAAAAAGGTCGAAGTGATGAAGAAGTTAATTATGAAAATTAAAGAACTCTTATTTACAGATATCTGACAATAAATATATATAGTAAATATAGAAACATTTATCTATTGATGTTTTGTAATTAATGAACACTTTCTAAATTTGACCTGCCTTTTATTTAAAGACCAGGACCAGGAATTGAACCAGCAAACCAATATGGTTTTGAGTAAATGAAGACTCAGACGCCCGGTGTTTGTGATTCTCTGTGGTGTAAATGTGACACAGTCAGCTGAGAGTCTGTCCACACATCACCAGATCGTTTCTCCTCTTCGTCGTCCAGGTTCATGGGTTCAGAGACTGAAGGTTCTTTCAGAAGACTGTGGTTTTCTGTAAATGGAAATATAATTGAACTCTTGTTCTTGGAACAAGCCACACTTTGTAGAAACAACATTTTATTTTCACAGTAAACATATCTCACTGACAGAAATATACAGTGTAGATATTTAAACTTCACTGCGGTCGTGTCATGTTTTACTTCTCTGTAAAACTGATTTAATTTTTCTGACATCAGGGTAAATTTAAAGATAAAATACATTTTCAATTTAGTCCTAAATCCTGCCCCCTGCTGTCTGAAAGCTCTCTTTTATTTATTTATTTATTTTTAAATTTGCGGTTACTTTGTTTTAGAACGGTCATCACGCAGACATTTTTTATTTTAGTCAGCAAATCCAATCAGTCGCCATTATGTAATCAGTCAGGCAGTAATTGACTCTTTGGGTGAGTCAGCCTGGGGGTTTTTGGGGTGGGGAGGTCAGATAGAGATTTCTTCCGAATAAATAATGAGGTGTCAGAGACATGAATGGACTGGACATCCAGACCAGGAGATGGCGCTGATCAGAATCAGAACACAGCCTTAAATATAACATAACTTAAGTGACTTCAACCCATTGATCTGAAACAGTTGATGATGATGATGATGATGATGATGATGATGGTGATGTCAGACTTTCTGAAAATGACCTTTTGACCCCGGCTAAGAAATAAGAAATAACTGTAGTTCAGCTGCTTCCTGTCAACTACAGCTGTGGGTACGACAAAAAATAAGACCTGCTAACTGCAGGCTAACGCTAGCACATAATGTCTGTGTGTGTCTGTGTGTGTGTGTAGGGCTGTAGGTGTGTGTAAGTGCTCAGTATTCTTCTGCGTGTCTCTATTCTCTGGATGAAAAAGTAGTTGCTTCGCTAAAAGCACTTAGTGGAATTGGATGTTTAAGATCACACACACACACACACACACACAGAGTCACGTCGCTCTGACATCAGAGGACATCTATTCCACTTACATTCATTTCCTTCAGCCTTTGTCATCCATTAGTTTCCTTAAAAAAAAAAACCCACCTCACTGATCTGTTTGGTCGGTCTGTGAAATAAGTATTTGTTTGCAGTATTTACTGTGTAACTGGGTTGTTTTTGAAGTATTTATATTTCTACTCCACAGTATATGTGAGGATATTGTTTGTGTTTATATTTCCTGTAGAAGAATTTCTGGTCCTCAGTGTGAAGTCGCTGCTCTCCGTTTCCTGCGCAGTCTTTGTAGTTTGTTCTTCACCTCTCACTCCAGCGCCCCCTGGGGGAGAGCAGCCTCAGTGCTGTGTCTCAGCCGGAACGTCGTTGTGTTCAATCAGCCCCTCTTACCTGGTACAGCCTGCTGTGGTGACGCTGCTGTGACAGTGATGGAATTGTGATGACAGGCTGTAAGAGAATATGTGAACGAGATGAGGAGGGAATCAATATAGGGGGCGCAGGCAGAATTGCAGCACGCTGACAGAATTTGAGGCAGGTGTATCAGAGAGTGAGTCCACAGAAAAGATCTGCTGTAGAAAGAAAAAAAAAACTAGAAACAAACTTATCCGGTGGTCAGTAATCAACAGAGACACAAGGGGGCAGTAGGCTGCACTTTTGAAATCTTTTTGAATAATGGCTGCAGTGGCTGTGGCTGAGGGTGATTCTCATTTAGTGAAGTGCCGTCAGCTGTGCCAACTCCTAAAAACCTAATTCTCCCTTTGGGACACTTTCATTTGGTCCAGAGCGCGGAGTGGGCCACACTTTTCACTTTGTTTAAAGCTATTTTTTTAACGGGAAAGTGTTTTATCGTATGTTCTGTATATATTCAACCATATTTTTTACAACCACAATGTAATGCCTGTGACCCATAAAGTGGGCCACATATACAATAATTACCATTAGTTAACATCTGGGCCGGCTAAACTGCAGGTTGGGAATGACATTATTAGGACATTTTAAACCAATTGTAACAAAAACAATTTTTTGTGTACGAAAACACGAAAAGAAAAAGGTGGTAAAATGATGATTGGGGTTCCCCAGGGTTCTGTCTTTGGTTCCTTATTGTTTATAAACATCACTAGACTCAAGTTTGAATTCATTAAAAAAGGAGCAGTTTGCAGTTCTACGCTGATGACACTCTGCTTTATTTGATTTATTGCATGATTTAAAGCCAGGATGGAAGAAAAAATGAAGCTGAATCTTCATTTCATTTTGTCAGATATAATTCTCTCCAAGTTTCTAGTGGAACGTTTGTCCTTTTTTTTTTCGCCTTGTTCAGCACTATGCTAACTGTCAAACGTTTCCTTTTTATTTCCCATAATCTCATCATACACAGTATAAAAACAAAGTATTAAGAGTCGTTAAAAATTTGATTTGACTCCACAACCTTTTGTGGTAGAACTTATGCCAACAAAAAGCTGTTGTGTTTGAGGCGTTTTTTTTTCCAAACGTCCCGTCCACAGCTTGGAGTCACCGTAGCTCAGTGTAATTATAGTCCTAACATCATAAACTTCTCGCGCGTTCCCTGAAGTTTGCCACCTTTTCAGAGGCTGCCTGTGTGAGATAACAGCGCAGCACAACGGCTCCGGTGTCCGGGGGTCGGAGAGACTCTTTTTTTATTTATTTTTTTATTTTTATTTTTTATTAGACTGTACGTGCGCTGAGATGCTATCACGGCGAAATCTCATTACCGCTCCTACACCAGCGTCGGAAAATCATTACCTCGGGAATCTGAGTGCTGTGCGTGTTTGTTTGTATTTACGTCCTCTGTAGACGCGGTCTATAGGATTCTGCATTCGTGTGTGTGTGTGTGTGTGTGTGTGTGTGTGTCTGCATGATGTGTTTACTGACAACACATCATGCATTAACACATCTGCTGAACTCCATTCTCGGTGCATCACTGCGGGACAATGAGACCCTCATCATTAATGACCTGTTTATTGGACTGAACTACACACACAGTCATGTCTATGTGACTGTTGGGGACATTAAATTGACTGATAATCATTTCCTGAAGACGTTCTCCGAGGCAGGAGCTCATCTGAACCGGTGGTTTACGACTAACGTTTTGATCAGGCGTCAGACCTTACCGTGGTCTTTCTGACCAATCAGAGGTGTTCAGGTTCCTGTTCATGAGAGAAATAAGTACTTTTTTTTAAATCTAAAAATATAAATATACAGATTATGTCAAAAGGTCAAGGCTGGAAACTGCTGCTGAATGTGCTGCATGTTGGAGCTTTGACCAAAAAATCCTAAAAAAATTTCTCTCTGAATATTTATAATTAGAGATGTCTGATAGTGATATTGTCCCAACACTTTATTTACGATTCTCGATGGTTGCTGCTCACTAAGGTGATGGGTTAAAGGCAGGGACTCGCTCAGTCATTTACAGCCAACAGTGGCTTTGATCCTTTGAGGTGTTGACGCACCGACGGCTTCACAACGTGTGCATGGAACCGATGTTTGAATGTGGGGGCGGTTGCCTGGAAACTGTCAAAGCCCTGGATCAGAGTGACGGTGACAATCACTCATTCACAGTCATTTACTCGGTCAAAGTACTTACAAATCTCTGTATCAGCAGTACATCCTCAGGACGCCCCCGTGTGCCGCCATCATCGGGGGAGCAGGGCCGTTTGATGCTGCGACAGCTGGATCGCGGTTCCCTGCGGTTTTGATATGAGAAAAGTACTCAGTTCTCAGCTGCCGCTCAGACGATCACGAACACAGAGCGACGGTGTCCGCGGCTCAGCTGCTCGTGTCGTCGTCGATTTACGTAACGACAAACTCTGGAAAACAAACAAACCTTTGTGACTTTTGCTCACTTTCATCCACTAAAGAGGAACTCCTGTTTCAAATTACGACCACATTTCTCCCTCTGCAGACGCAGCGCTGACGCTAACGCGTCTCTCTCTGACTTTGCAGCAGTTTCAAGGGTGGAGAAGTGAATGTTCATCCTCTACGTTTTTTTTTTTTGTTCTTATCGTCCGTTGTAAGGCCGCGGCATTCATCATGCTGCAGTATCTCCTCACCCTCACGCTGTGTGGCCTTGGCCTTGGAC